TCAGTTGGGGCTGTATCGGTATGAGACGCGGGAGAAGCTGGAACGGGTGCTCTGGGATGCGGTGTTGAACAGTGAGGGATTTGGATTGAAGTAGTGGTAGTTGGGGTGGGTGAGGGGGGCAGGTCCCCGGTGGTGAAAGTAGAGTATTGATAAGTAGTGATGAGAGAATCAAGACTATCTTTATCTATTCCTCATTATTTATTCATGGTTGGAGTGTTTGAACGTACTTGGTAGTGGAGTAGGATGCATGCTGCATGCTGTTCAGTAGAATAAGATGCATACTCATAGTCATAGTCATAGTAGTAGTGGAGTGGATACCTCGCAGCCTGAGGCTAGCTGGACCAGCTGCTACCGCATTGCGTTAGTCTCTTTCTCTTCCAGCGGAGACGGCACTAACCCGATTCGGGACAAAGAGCGGCCGCCGCGGCCATCCCATCATATCAAATTTTTTTATGAGTGCAACAACACCAACGAACCAACATCCAAGCTGTATTGAACCCTCCCACCGCAAATCCCTTTTCTAAACTTCCATTCTCTCCTTATCTCCTATTGAACCATTGTAATTTCAAGAGCAAGACAGTACCCCAGTACCCCAGTACCCCAGTACACCAGCGTAAAAATGGCGACGAGGACCGGTGGCAGTGGCCCGCCGCCGTCCAAAAAACGGCGCCGCGAGGCCCTCCGGGACAGCGTCGACCGCACGCAGATCGAGATCTACGAGGCCCTGGCGTCCGAGACCGACGCCGTCCGCCTGCAGGCCGCCGCCGCCCTGGTCGCGCAGTTCACGCCGGACCAGGCCCCGACGGCCGCGCACATCGACCGCGCCCTGGCGCGGCTGTTCCGCGGCCTGTGCAGCAGTCGCAAGGCGGCGCGCGTGGGGTTCTCGATTGCGTTGACGGAGGTGTTGGTGCAAGTTTTTGGGGCTGGTGCCTCTGCTTCTTTGGAGGAGGGGCGGGATGTCGGGGCTGTGTTGGGGGTTTGGGAGCGGTTGACGGATTCGTCTGGGGGGGAGTCGGGGCAGGTATGTTTTTTCTTCATCTTTCTCTTGTGTCTTGGGGTTGGGTGGATTTGATGAAGGGCGCAAGCTGATATACCGGGCCAGGAACAACGCGATCACTACTTCGGGCGGCTCTTTGGCGCCGAGGCGATCATCAAATCCGGGATTCTGTTTCACTCTGCCCCCGGGGCTGAGTGGACCCGTCTGCTGGACCGCGTGTTCGAGCTGGCGAAGAAGAAGCCGTGGCTGCGCGAGGAGTGCGGTTGGATCGTGTATCGGTGTATCCTCGATTTCGCTTCCCCAAAGAAGGAGGAGGAGGAGGAGGAGGAGGAGGAGCACGCCCCGAAGGTCAAGTTCGTGGAGGTCGCGCTCGAGCGCCTGTGCGCGCACGACCTGGCCAAAACCCCCGAGGGCGTCGCGGTCTGGCTCGCGGCCAAGGACGGCTTCCCGTCGGCCACGTTCCCGGCCAAGGTGTGGAAGCATGAGGATCCGTTGGATGCCAAGGAGCGCGTTTCCCTGGGCAAGGTGATGAAGGATTCGTCGTCGGATGCGAGCGCCGGTGCCGGGCAGCAGGAGGAGGAGGGGGGGGGCAAGAAGGGCGGCGCCGCGGCGGCCAACTCGGGCGTCTGGAATTCCAAGTTGCATTTCGCGTGGGATGTGGTTCTGGGCCGGTTGGCGCAGGTGTCCAAGGCTAAGGCGAAGGGGTCGAGGCTTGGGTTTGCGGAGTTTTGGACTGAGGTTGTGGATAGTATGTTGCCCCTTTTCTGAATGTTGGTTGAAGGGTGATCGGGCCGGCCGAGGGCGCAGGCACCGCTAACGCTGCGTCTAGATGGATTGTTCGCCGCGGCCTCCTCCGAGGAACGCAAGTACTGGGGATTCTCGCTGTTCATCAAGGTCATCACCGAGAGCCCGCGGGCCGTCGCGGGCCAGGCGTTCACCAAGAACCTGGTGCGCTGCCTCATGAACCAGCTGGCCGTCGAGGACCGCTACCTGCACCGCATGGCCGTCAAGGCCGCCAAGGCCCTGCAGGCGCGCGTGGCCAAGGAGCCCGCCTTCGCCGCCGCCGCCGTCCGCGGCCTGATGGGCCCCGCCACCGGCGGCTCGGTCACCTTCGACCAGGCCACCAAGACCAAGACCGTGGAGAAGATCGTCGTCGAGGCCGACGTCGAGGCCCTGACGGAGATCGTCCCGCTGTTCGAGTCGCTGATCGCCGCCCCCTGCGGGCCCCACGACAGCAAGACCGCGGCCGCCAGCCGCCAGTTCCTGGCCGGCCTGCTCCTGGCCATCGTGCGCGCGCGCGCGTCCGCGGACCCCAAGGGCGAGGGCGACGACGATGCCCACAGCATCCTCGAGTCGATCCTCTCCATCTTCGTCCGCTTCGCCTACTTCAAGGACCCGGCCGCCAGCCCCGCGCTCGCCGAGCAGACCCAGGAGCTCTTCCGCAGCCGCATCAACTCCTGCATCAACAGCCTGATCGCCACCGCCCGCTACGCCGCCATCCCCTACGCCGTGGTCCGCCAGATCCGGGATCTGGCCAAGTCCGAGGAGCGCGGCAAGTTCATCGTCAGCATGGATGAGACGATCGCGGGCGCGGTCAAGAATGCGTTCAAGTCGTTAAAGAAGCTGGCGAGTATGGTATGATGCCCCCCGTCTCTGTGTGTGCGTGAGCCCTGGCTAATCTCTGTGGTGGTGCAGGAGAAGAAGGACAACGCGGCGAGCGTCGACGCGTTCCGGTTGCTGTACTCGTTGACGATCCTGCAGGTGTACAACGGCGACGCGGACGCGGCGTCGATGCTGGAGGAGTTGGATTTCTGCTACACGCAGATCTTCGGCGAGGCGAAGACGAAGTCGAAGAAGTCCACGAAAGAGGATGAGGAAGAAGAAACAACCGCCGATGCCTCGGACGCCCTGGTGGAGATCCTGCTCAGCTTCGCGTCCAAGCAGTCGCAGCTCTTCCGGCGCATGAGCGAGCAGGTCTTCGGGGCCTTCGCCGAGACCATCACCGAGAACGGCCTGGAGTCGCTGACCTCCATCCTGGAGGCCAAGGAGAGTCTGGCGGGCCAGCAGGAGATGTTCGACCAGCAGGACGACCAGGACGCGGACGCGGATATGATGGATGTTGACGGCGATGGGGATGACGACGAGCTCGACAGCGACGTCGAGGTCGTGGAAGCCGGTGCCGGTGGCAGCTCGGAGTCCTCCTCCTCGTCCGACGAGGAACTCTCCGAGGGTGAAGACGAAGGCAACGACGACGAGGAAGCGATCTTCGAAGCCAAACTGGCCGCGGCGCTGGGCACGCACCGCCTGGGCGCCGACATGCCCGACGCGGAGGAAGACTCGGACGCGGACATGAACGACGACGAGATGGAGGAGCTGGACGAGCAGCTCGTGAAGGTCTTCCGGGCGCGGCGCGACGCCCTCGGCCAGAAGCAGGACAAGAAGGACGCCCGCGCCACGATGGTGCACTTCAAGAACCGCGTGCTGGACCTGCTGGAGATCTATGTCAAGAAGTGCCACGCCAAGCTGCTGGCCCTGGATCTGCTGCTGCCGCTGCTGCGCCTGACCCGCCGGTCGGCCAACAAGCAGATCTCGACGCGCGCCGCCGCCGTCCTGCGCGAGTACACCAAGCAGTGCAAGGGCGCGACGGCGCTGCCCGCGATTGGCGTGGAGGAGGTGGACCGTGTGTGGGCGCTGCTGAAGTCCGTGCATACCGAGGCCACGCACAGCGGGCCCCCCGCGCACGCGACGGCGTGCAGTCAGGCCAGTCTGCTGGTGGTCAAGGTGCTGGTGGCGCAGGAGCGCGGCCATGTGGCTGGCGTCGTGGATGTGTATGGCGAGACGCGCAAGAAGCAGTTGCTCAGTCGCAAGTGTCACGTCCAGCCGTCGTTCTTCACGGATTGGAATAATTGGTGTGTTTCGTTCGGGAAGATGAAGAATTAGGTAGGAAGAGTCAAAAGTACATAGATGGGGGGGGGGGTTTCGTTTGGGTTTAGATTCAGATATCCAGTCTTGTTATGCGTTTGAGCTTGAGATTTTTTTCCGGGGAGGATCGTAGGTTGTATTGCTGTGGTTGTGTTGTATTGTCTACACGCTCGAATGGAAACCAAAGAGGCAGCTAGGCAAGCTTAGGGTAAGGGTGCGGGGGTTATAAATCTACCTAGACGCTTACATTCCTTCGGTGAAACTAGTCTTCTACGCACTATCATGCTCTGTGCTGAGTCGATAAACATCAAGCTCTCCTGCTGCTCCCCTCCCTAGCACAGAGAGATAGTAACCGGCTGCTGGGAAGTGGCTAGGGTCTGGCTTTGATGATCGGGATGATGGATGGATTAGTCGGTTACACAAGAGGAGTGAGGATTCAGAAACAAGGGGTCAGTGAGTGAATAGAAGCTGGAGGCGAATTCGCTTTGGTTACTTTGATTAACGTTCAAAGCAGAAGCCACATAAAGAATAGAAGAGTGTGAATGACTCTGTCAAGTGAGGCGGTGGTAATTAGGGTTGCTCGAATACGTACAGTACAGTCCCTACCCATCCTGGACCGCTCTGACAGCAACACAACAAACCCCCTTTGTATAACCACAGAGCTTAGAGCCAAGAAAACCCCTTTGATAGACAAGCAAGACATGCTTTGTAAGTACAGTACAGTCCAAGTCAAAAGAAACGAACCGAAAAGAAAAGAAAGAAAGAAAGCGGAGCCAATATTCCAGTGTGCAGTCGAAGACATGCAATTGTCAAAGCCGCGGGAGTGAAGATCTCCCGGTCTTCCTTTTGGGAGGTGGACCAAACAAGACCGGGCTTCAATGAACTGTCAGGAACTGATGGTCCGGGGGTTCCTGCACTATATAAGCTGGGAAATCATCACTCTCGGGAGAAAGTGTCTCACTCGCAGGTCACTCACTGCATGCATCCTTGAGGTTTCGCCACATCTTGATCTCTACCCCTTTCGCAGTAAATCTTGTTGTTTGGTCCACATCTTGTGACGTGACGTGACTAATCTCTCGAAATGTCTTCTCGCAGTTCCGAGCAGGTGGGCGGTTGGGATCTGTCTCAGTTTGATGAGGCTGCGCCGGTTTGTGTTGATGGTGCTGCGTCTGTTCTTGATGCTGATTGCGGTGTTGATTGCGATGCTCAGGGTGATGATGGCCGCGAAGAGGATCATGATCATGATCTGACTGATGGTCAAGACGATGGGCCAAAGGATGAGCCAAGCGATAAGTCAAGCGACGATCGCAACGAGGATCAGAGCGATGCTCAGACCGACGACCACGACAACGAGCCAACCGACGACGCTCAGACCGAAACCACCGATACCCCGACCGAAGACGCGCACAGCGACCAGCCCGCCTCAACCGCCACCCACGACGACGACTTCCTCCACGAAGTCGCGCAATGGCACGCCTACTTCCAGCACGAATGGCACACCCACGGCGGAATCCTCCGCTGGATGACCAACCGCGCCCTGCCGGCGGCCGGCGCTCTCGCGCTGTCCATGCTGCGCACGACGCCGGCCATGTACGCGCTGCACGCCACGCACATCAGCTCGTACCTGACCACCCGCGACGACGACGACGACGCGGCGGCGTGGCCGCTGCGGTTCCGCTTCACGGACCAGCTGACCGAGATGGAGTGGATGGCCGCTCTGCTCATCGTGCTGGTGCTGTGGCACCAGCATCTCTTCAAGCTAATCCTCCACGGGTACCGGACGACGCGGTCCGGCGCCACCCTGTACCTGGACGTGCTCGGCCTCCTGTCGTGCGTGTTCTGCATGACCGGGCTGAACGGCTGGGTCGTCGGGCAGATCTACGGCCTGACCTTCGCGATCATGCACATCCATCTGCTGTGCTTGTTCGCGCTGTATGATACCGCCGTCTGGGCGAGAGAGTGCGCCCGCGGGCTGCGGGGTCAGGACGATATTGTGGTGGATGTTGTTTGGGATGGTGAGGGTGATGATGATGATGAGGATGAGGATGATGAGGATGAGGATGCGCGCCGGGACTTGGCTATGCTTCTTGATTTCTGTCTTATGCCTTAGGCTGGTCTTCGGTCAGTGGAGTGAGCCTTTGCGGTTTGCTCGGTGGGTATGGCTTGGTCTTCGGAGCCGGAAAAAAAAGTCTTTTAGTGATCTTAGTACGAGAAATTGATATGCTTTGATTGAAAGGCTCAGTGCGTTTGTAATTTCTTTAAATATTTAACTAATAAGTAGGTTCTCTTGGTGAAATGCAGATTAGTCTCCTTCCTTTCAACTGCCCCTCCAGAAACATGACCGTCTCGATCTAGGCCATATTGAATTCCACTGTCCTTCAATGCATCGGCACAAGACTCTTGGAACTTGAACTGGCTGCCTATTAGAGTGGCATAACCAGAGCACGCCGCAAGAGTGCCACTAGAGTAGGAAAGTAAGTACCAGTATCCTTTCGGCTGTAATGGGATTGCTCATTTATATGTCTGCCTTGATTAAATACAATGTATGCTTATTAGCCTTGTTGAATGAAGAATATTAGATACCATAGCTGCAAGAGATCGACAGTGAGTGCCAGTGCCAGAACCTGTCCACTTTCAACCCCCGCCCCCCCAAAAAAAAACAAAAAAAAAAAAAGAAAACAAAGAAGAAGAAAGAAGGAAATACAAGAAGTGAATGAACGGGGCTAGAGACCCCATCTGCCTAAGCTATAAACCTTGGATGCTCTACCCTCCCATACGTCATACAGAACCCGGATGCCCCAGTCACCCTAAGCAGCAGTGCAAGCCCCATTCACCTGCGTCTGGGGCGGCCCGACATCCACGGTCTGCACGCCACTGACGGCGGTGACGCTGTGGTCGATGCCGTTGAACGTGCAGCGCACATTGCCGGTGCTGGAGACGATGTGCGAGATGCTAAGCGGGTTGGCTGGTTTTCCCCTCCGTGTTAGCAAAGGAGCGACTTTTGGAAGTAGGGACCGGGATCACATACTGATGGCCGTCGAGGTGCCGTCGAGTGGGAACGACTGCGAGAATTGCGCGTCCGCGGCGCCTTGGAAGGTGATTGTGACTGCTGAGCCCTGGCCTCCGGAGGGGGTGCTGGGGGTGGAGGGCTCCGGGGTCGGGGTGGAGCCGGAGCCCCCGTCGACGGTGCACGAGCCCTGGGTCTGGGTCTGAGGGGGGCCCACGTCCACGGTTGCTACGCCGCTGACGGTCGTGCTGGAGTGGTCGATGCCGATGAAGGTGCAGGTGACGCCTGCGGTGCTGGAGGCGATGTGCGAGATGCTCAGGGGGTTGGCTGGGTTGGGTTGCGGTTAGTGCTCGGTGGGTTGTGTTTGCTGGGCTTCAGGCAGCTTACCGATAGCGACGGTGGAGCCATCGGTGGGGAGGCTCTGGGTGAACTGCGCATCTGCGGCGCCGAGGAAGGTGATTTGGACCTCGTTCTGTGTGCGGACGGCGAGCGGTGCGGCGAAGATGGAGGAAGCGAGGGTGAGCAGAACGGTGGACTCAGAGAGGAAATGCATGGTGATGTGATGGTGGTCTATGCTTTGCAATCAAGGATTAACTTGGAAGGTAAAGTGTAGCGAGGGTAAGAATGCTGCTGCTTGGGAACTCTGAGACTCTGTCTGATGCTGCTGATGAGAATAGATGCCAGGTTGAGAGGGACGTCTGAGAGGTTTATATAGACTTGATGTGCCCTGCAAAAGCTCTGCCCAGTGCAGTATAAGTTGTTGGGTATACAGCACATTGCCCTAAAATAGAACTATACAACACGATCCGTGGGAGAGTAGTTACTCCACCGGTCTACAACAACAAAACCCTCATAGCTGGTATCCGGCTGCGCTCGGGAGACCGAGAAATCCCATGGCTCGCTGGGTAAAAGCTCAGGGCATAGCCCCGGATTTGGTGTAGTTGCGTAGAGAGTACCATGTACGATACTAAAATTATCACCCGACACACTGCCCCCCGGTGGTGGTTCCATGTATCAGGGAGCAACGGCAGTGTAGTCTCGTGCCAGGGCTTGAGCTTTTTCCCCCGGACACAACTGAGTCAATTACGAGCAGAGCCTCGTGTTGCTTGCATGCACAGCTTATTAAGGCAAACTCTATCTCGACCATCGCCGTCTTTGTCCGGGGAATTGACAGCATCCGCCGCCGTATATGCACCGCCTGAAACCTAATCCCGAACACTCAAAGCGGAACACGTCGACCATGCTGATGGGCATCGTCCATCGGTGCGGTATGTTTTACATAATAGTGTCAAGTCTCGAGCCTCTGGCAGGTAAGCAGAAAAACGCGCATCTGATTTTAGAACAGACAGTGCGGAGCAAGGGCAGTTGCTTGTCGCGGGCGTTGTTGAGGTAGGGCAAAAGTCATGACATCATACTGGACACGGGGATAGAGGATTGTTTGTATACAGCCTCCTCACCTACCACATCTGGAGTGCGGATGCTGCCGCTGCTAATGTCTAATTTAAGATCGAAGATGTAATTGTCTTGAGACATCAGGTAAAGCCTCCCTCGCGAGGTACAGCACGGGCTGCCGGCTCTATCCTCCGTACGACCACTGTCATCCACCCCCCCAAGCCCTAATCACTTACTGTATGTACATAGCTCATCCACAATATCGCTTCTGCTGAAGCTAGTTCGAGCTATTCTCCTACTCAGTCATAGTGTGCTTTCTTCTCTTCTACCCTCACCGCCTTTTCGAATGTCTGTGATCCCCACTTGTCAAATGCCTGTTCGTGGTTCTGTAAAGGCCGCCCTCGGCGCCTCATCGTACGCCGCCGCACCACACTATAGTGAGATGCCAGGTCAGACGACGACTCCATCCGCGACTAGGTCGCCGTCTGCGTGATGAAAGCGCGACGCCTAGATCGCTTCTCCCCGATTTCCTGCGCTAGCGTGCCAACGCTGTGCTGAAGTGGAGTCGTACCATTGCACTGGAAATTCCGCCGCCGGGCGACACCTCGGCGGAGCTCGGTAAGGAAGAGAGAGATTTCCTGAACTGGGAAACTCTTTATGGAGAGGGCAATGGCGAGGCGTTGGGGAGAGGCAAACATTCTTATTGCTGGCGTGGAGCAGGTGAATAACCTGATGCAATATTTGGAAAGACGCAGAGAGCCACTGCACATCGTACTTCTCACCTGCGCACTGCACAGAAACAAAAGAACCTAGCAAGGCTAGGATCTACTTCCTTCGCCTCATTCACTAGTAGCTACTCACCCCAAAACTTGGGCCAGCTCACTCAACCGGCCTACCCGGTTCCACATCCCTCGTCATCGATGTGAACCCTCCAGTCCGGTCCGAGGCAGTGTGCGGGGCACGTCAAGCCTTTCATGACCTTCCATACAGCTTGGCTGTATCTCGTAGTGACGCGGCAAGAAGCAACATGCAGCTTCAACACCTATACTCCCCGTATCTGCTGATGATATTACACCCGGCGAATCAACCGGCGAAGCCACATGCGTGTGCCACCAGAAGTTTGCTCAGCAGCGCGCCTATCGACGACGCAGAACCACAACGGTCGCAGACTGAGCATGAGCATGAACAGTGTGCACCGTGCTTTGAGCGTTATCATTGCTCTTAACCCCGATCTGAGTGGAATCACCGCCAGCAGATCCTCATCGTCCGCACAGATGGATGCGAGGACCTGTTTGAACAGCCTATCCAAGATGCTGACTGCCCTGTTTTATGAATCCACTCGATACGAACACTACCCATAAAAGAATGCACGGCCTCTCTATATCTGAGCCTCAGCGATTGTCGCAGATCCTCCAATGTATGTGCGAGTCTCGAAGCCTGCGAGCTGGGCCCAGCGCTGACTGGCGTTGTGCCAGGGCCCTGATTTCCATTTCCCATCAGAGTGCTGGACAATGAGCCTTGAGGCCAGTGAGCACGCTTAGGCGAGCTTCACTTGGTCAAGTACACGCAGCCGTCTGGATCAATGCAGGTAGCTTAGCCGCTAGTCGCATGATAGTCGCAGGATTCTGAATTTGATCTGATGCAGCTGAACTTGGGCGGTATTGAAGCTTTGCGAGGATCTTCTCTAGTGGATCGTCGCGCGAATATCTCTTTTGCTATCGCATCTGTCGATCTTTAGGTGGTGAAGCAGGTCTGAGGGGTTGAATGATTGATCTGGACATGGTTGATTGAAGAAAAATCACATACGGGGGCCCCTCGAACCTGCGCCTGGCCACTGCCGGGATGAACGATGCGGAAATAGCGCTATGTCTGAAAAGCAGCGCATACTGAAGTCAACTGTGTCCCACTTACCCCAGCGATATCCCCGAGATATTCTCAGGGATCTCGACATGCCAAGTGAGGGGAACCGGGCCCCTGCACAACCCAGCCAGCACATGACCTCACAAAGGAGGGGAAATCCAGCAAGCATATCGGCCAACATTACTCCGACCGGTAAGCATCTTCAGTATAAGACCCATACTTCTGCAACTTAACATGCCGCAAAGAAGCTGGCTGACAGCGAGAACAACAGAATGACTGAAACAGTAAGCTTCGCTTCCACAGACAGCCCCCCCCCTTCTCCCCCCCGGGCACCATCAACCCTAACCGGAATCCCCACCCAGTGGCTAAACCCACAATCCAAACCGCCAGAACCTAAGCTGCGTCCTCTATGGCGCCGGAAAAGTGCGGTTCGAAGACCGCCCCGTCCCGCAGATCGAGGACCCCCCACGATGTGTTGATCCGGATCAAGACTAAGCTGCTAGACTCCCACGCTTTCTCACCAAGTCGCAAAACACCGCATAGAACTACCTCAAGCCTTATTCAGAGTGTACTCACTGAAGATGAAACAATCTCGATGGGTTCGCGCCGCTCTGACGACCGCAAGCCGTGAGCTTGCATAGCGCGGAAATCCTTTCAGTGTGGGCGTGACTCCCTCCACAGCAGTCGATACCTTGTGTCAAAATCCCCCGAACCTGCGTAGTATCCCTTATCCCCCTTATAGCTGAAACCGAAAGTGTAGAAGTAGATAGGGTTCGGGGGTGAGGCTACATACAACCCAAACACATGTTCAAATAAATTCAGGTTCTAGCATTGACCTAGTTGGGTGGGCCTGCCTAGTGCGGCTGGCTACCTCAGCTACAGTATGTAGGTGCTTGGTTCAAGCAAGAACTCACCCGCGAGTGTTAAGCCTTGTTGAACGACCTTAAGAATCACAGAAGCCCATGCTTTAGCTTATCACTCCCAATACAAATGAGATGGATGGCGTTAGGCGAGCAGGTAGCATAAGACAGGTCCAAAAGGTGCCCTAGCCCGCCAGTCACCTCGACTGACACCCGCGGGCAGACGTGATACGTAGTATGCATGGGAGGAGTGGCTCATATACCGGACTAAATCTCTCAAGTGCTTGTATGCCGCATACTCCATTCATTGTGAGGAAAATCTCTCAGGTCGAAATCTGCGCGGTAAGGCAAACTTGCAAAGAAGCATAGACCCTACCTCGTGAGGAGAAAGTCTAGCCCAGCCCTCGAACAAGGCAAAGCAATAGCTCATCGGAAATCAAAATCCCAAAACAAACAGACGCATTCTGCAAGATGAGCAAAAATAGCAGAGTAGCGGTCAAGGTGTTCAATGCCGCCACTCAGGCCAGACCTGACACCTGGAATCCCCTCAACTTCCCCATCGACAGCTGGAAACCAAATCAAAAGCCCCAGACGGCATCAAAGTGAAGGCTTGACAACTCCAGATTACGTACAAGCATATGCTCATCATCCCTTGCCAAGCAAAAAGACAGTCTGAGTGCGAGGAAGCCCACCCAATCAAGAAAGTGAGAGATATACGCGTGGCTGGAGGAATTGCACACGCAAGGGGGTACAGGGGTTTATTGGAAAGTTCCTTTGTCGAGCGAACATAACTACCGCTCAGGAGCAGCATTCCTGCGCTCGACATGCCTCATCTGATGATCTGATCGACCCACGACGAAGTACCGAACCAATCCTCTTCACCCAACTCCAACGAATGGAGTACCGGGGTTGCATCCCCTTGCGGATCAAGGCGAGCGAAATATCTCCCCTCGCCTTGAATCCTTGAACTTGGACCACCGTGCCGCCAGCATGAGGACGAAAGGCGCCATTTCCCTTTCTCCTCTGCCCCCATTCCTTAAGCTGGGAGATGACCACTTACTGAAAGGAAAGAAAGACTCTTTCCCTCGCCGAGAGTCGAGGAATTGAAGCAGCGCGAGCATGGGTTGACGAGGTCAACAAGTCTAAAGGTTTTTCTTTTTAACAGCCGGTGGTATTGCACTCTTGATCCACGCTTCAGGGTTCCCCTCCGTTGGAAAAAGAGTTTCACCTTGTACCATCGAGAAAGCAAGCAAGAATGTTTTGCCTCGATCACCGGCAGGACCTGACGGTCCAGGCGCTGCGGCGACACATCGAGAGCGACGCAAAGTTGATCGAGCTGTTTGCGACGGCATTCAGTGAGATCCCCGAGGAGTTTCTGGACAGATCCAAGCACATTGGGCCTGCTCACATCCGCGACTATAGTGCCTTGCTCGACAACATCGACCAAGTGATCCAGACAGTGCCCTCGTGGACGTCGGCGGTGGAGCAGAACTGCGTGATTGCCTGTCCGATGAATGAAGTGCTGGTTAGTCTCCCTCTTTTTACCCATAACAGCAACGCCAGACTTCAGACTTGCTAATGTTCAACTCGAAGATATGGTTCATGAACACGCGAACGGGATCCGACATCCTCGCCCGCAAGGATATCAATGCGCACTTCTACGCCATCCTCCAGAGATGGGGCCAGTACCTCGCGTCCGCTAGGTCCGCCAAGGCCATCCACAGCGGCCAGGGCGGGTGGGTATCCGCCGGCGCGCTGACGGAACTCCTCGACGTCGTCGTGCACGCCCACAACACCACCTTCCGGCCGGCCTCCTTCGCCGAAGCGTTCATCTGCGACCCATCTCTCCCCAACTACGGCTTCCACTCGTGGGACGACTTCTTCACGCGGCGGTTCCGACCCGGGATGCGGCCCGTCGCCGGTCCCGAGGACGACCGCATCATCGCCAACCCGTGCGAGTCGCAGCCCTTCGCCTTGGTCAAAAATGTGCCCGCCAGCGCCCACTTCTCGCTCAAGGGGACCGTCTACTCACTGCAGGACATGCTGGGTGACGGCAACGACACCACCACCGCCCAACCCTCAGCAATATTTACAGGAGGCACCGTCTTCCAAGCCTGGCTCTCCGCCTTCAGCTACCACCGCTGGCACGCCCCGGTGACCGGGACAGTCGTCAAGGTCCTGAATCTCCGCGGCACCTACTTCGCCGCCGACCCGGCCAAGGGCTTCGAAAACGTTGACCCGGCCACCAAGGCTTCGTGCCCCGACCGCCAGGCGCCCGATCTCTCGCTGACGATGATCTCGTCGACGGCCACCCGCACCGCCGTGCTGATTCAGGCCGATAACCCGGCGCTCGGGACGGTGGGCTTCCTGGCCATTGGGATGGCGGACGTGTCGAGCTGCGTGGCCACCGTCGCGGTCGGGGACCGTGTCGCCAAGGGCCAAGAGATCGGCAGTTTCCACTACGGGGGCAGCTCATTCTGTCTGCTGTTTGAGCCCGGGGTGGATCTGACGTTTTCGCCGTTCGTAGAGGACGCATTGGCACAGGATCCAGGGTATGAAGGGCGGTGTATTGCGGTTAACAGTCAGCTGGCGGCGTTGTGAGGTTGGTAAACCTTTCATCTTTGTGATGGAGGAGCAACTGGGGGGTCAGAGAATCTTGGCGCTGGAATGGTCTAGTGATGTGGACCGAGTGGCTTGACAAGTGGATTGACCAGGAAGTAAATGGGAGAGCGAGAGCCATGGCAAGCCAGCTGCGGAAGACCAAGCAGTACCCCAAGTTGAAGACCTGATTCCATAGCTCTCAAGGTCGAAGATATCGGCAACATCACAAGTGATGGTCATGACGTGGCATCGGAGATATCTTCAATAATAATGCCGACGTGAAGTTCGAATCAAACCACGGAATCAAACGCACGTAGTCCGTATCTCGGGGCTGGTTGACTCACACTCAGCCCCGACCTTGGCTGGACCATCTCTGCAGCTATGCCTCGACCACATTATCGCAGCTCAATCCAGCTCAGTAGTAGCGAGCGCTGTTCCCGTCAGCTTTCACAATCTTATGGGACCACCTCAGCAGACCTGCTCCCAAGCCCCCTGGACATCTCATCATGAAGACCAGTAAGACGAACGGTTGCTGCGCTCGACAGAACGACCCCTAATTTAATCCGCTTTCCCACTGCAACCTTGACCAAGGCCGTTCTTTTGTGGAGGTACTGGGCGGAAATTGAGTAAATACCCTCGATGGAGATAATGGCCTAAAAGTGCCTAACTAGAAGAAGTAACCAATAAGTTCTGCATACAATCGAAGCCCTACCTAGTAAAATCCGGACTAGCGTCCGCTTACCAAGGCGGACAGATAGCTGAATCAGCGGATAAGAAGCCCAATTAGGCTAGAGAACGGCAAGTACCGCGAATGCCGCGAACAATCCCTTGGTTAGAAGCAGACTCTCGGAGCGATCGTCGGGTCTTGAATACTATGAATTTCCCGCCAAACGTCATGAGACGTCTTCTCGTCACCTAAAACATCGGATGATTAAGCGGGATACATTTGAGAGAGACGATCAGGGGGGTGGTCATGGCGGGGTGGTCATACTAGGGGCTGCATTGTTATAAATCCGTCGCAGGTCAACTCATTTCATTCGTCTCCCTCTTTCGCCAGACTTCATACGCTTGCCTTCACCAACTACCATAGTCAAATTCGCTGATGATGCCAACGTTCAGAGTCATCGTCATCGGCGGAGGCCCTGTCGGCCTCACTGCTGCGCACGCCCTTCACCACGCCGGCATCGACTTCGTGGTCCTCGAAGCCCGCGACTCGGTCGTCCTCGACCAGGGGGCCAGCCTGGTTCTGGCACCACACAGCCTCCGGGTGTTGCACCAATTCGGCCTGTCAAAGCGACTATCTGAGATAGGCGGCGAGATGACCCACTTGACCTCCTTCACGCGGGACGGATACCAGTTTGCCGAGTCCACGACCCTCCCTCGGATCTTCAGAAAGAAGTGAGTGCACCAGACACAGTACCGCCCTTCGGAGAAGGTACACTGACACAGGGGGGCATCTGAACTCATCCAGCCACGGAACCGCGCCGGTCTACTTCCATCGCGCCCAGCTCGTCGAGACCATCTACGACGGACTGCCCCCGGCTGCGAAGTCACGGTACCTTCTCGGCAAGAAACTCGGAAGTATCGAGACGCATGACCACGGTGTGCGCGTCACGTGCACCGACGGGAGCACGTATGAGGGGTCGATGGTGCTGGGCGCCGACGGGGTGCACAGCAAGACACGGACACTGATGCGCGACTTAGCGCTGGCCGAAGGATCGCCGCCACAGCCGCAATGGGATGACGCGGTCCCGTTCACGGCCCAGTATCGATGCTTTTGGTGCAGCTTTCCCCGACCGAGCGCCGCTGACGTAGAGGTGGGCCACGGTTCAGACACACAGTCTAAAGACATGTCTGTTATGTTCCTGGCCGGGCAGGAGCGAGGCTGGGTGTTCTTGTACGAGCGGATACCGACGGGGCCGACGACGGAGCGGATGCGCTACACCAAAGCCGACATGGAAGCGTATGCGGCACGCTTCGCCGACTTCCCCGTGTCGAAGATGCTGAAGGTCAAAGATGTGTACGCGACGCGATTGACCGAGGGGATGGCGAATTTGGAGGAAGGGATTCTGGCACAGTGGAGCTGGGGCGGACGGATCGTGCTGGCTGGCGACGCGTGCCACAAGTTCACCCCAAACGCGGGACGGGGGCTGAATAATGGGATGCAGGATGTGGTGGCGCTGTGCAACGGGCTGCATGCGCTACTGCAATCGAGCGGTCCCGACGTGGCACCGTCCAAGACCGCCTTAGCCAAAGTCTTCGAGGAGTACCAGAAGGTCAGGGCCGCGCCTTTGAAGGCCGACGCCGATCAGTCGCTGTCCCAATCACGCATGCACGCCTGGGCGAGTCCGTTCTATCAATTCATGGCTCGCTATGTTATGTCTCGGGACTGGGTGATGTGGTTCCTCTTGAACTTCCTCGGCGCACGTGAGATCAGAAAGGCCTTGGCGCTGGATTATATCCCTGCGGACGAACCATACCCTGACGCGCTGGTAAGCTGGGAGCATCCGCTCAAGAACGAGATTAAAGCATGACAGGATGTATAATTTGTGGTGTGAAATTGTCGCAGAGGAAACTTGGCGTTCTACCCTTGCAACTCCTAGAGCTTTAGTTAATACCCCCCATTATCAGACTTGTGATTGCCATCCCTCCCCAAACCGCCTTGGTTATCTTCCTTCCGACATGGCACACCGAGCAAGACGACATAGCTCCGACACGAAGTCTCGCATCAAGTGGACATCACCACACAAGCCGAAGTAAGTGTGTGACCCTGCCGCCCGAGAGAAACGTGCCGCAATTGTGTCGAGTAAGTGGGTATCGTCATCACTCTGCGAGTCACGAGGGTCTTTGAGCACTTTACAGAAAAGATTCATAACCCCTGATAGAACATAGAAGATTTCGAACCTGAGAGTAAACAAAAGAACTGTTAGCTAGATACTCTTCTAGATCATATACTGGACGTCCGGAAGGAATCAGATCCTACCAAAACACTTCCTGTGCTAATGCTGCTTGCATATCCAGGAACTGCCGCAAAAGGGCGCGGCTCGCGTTGGCCGCGACCTCTAAACTCAAAGTAATGCCTAAGGCTCGGCCGCTTGGATCGGCAATCCATGCCGCGCATCCAGTGCTCATTTGATGAATGGCAGCTATGCAGTACTGGTGTTGTAATTTCAATAAAGACGAGCGCAGGTAGACCTCTTCCTGGGTGAAAACCACCCCATGGGCGCGAAGTAGGTGGAGGTCGTTGCTTGGTAATCGCAGGTTTCGATGCCACCCGTTCACTGCATCATCTAGTTCCCGAACGGTCTTCAAGAGCTCCGCATCTGATGCTAGTGCGGCTTGAGGAGAGTATAGTTTCCTGGTTATCTTTGATTGAATAAGGCTGAGCCTGAGGTCGGTAGGGAAGAAAAGTGCAAGGTTGCGATTCGCCGGCGTCTGAGGGTCGTGGAGGCCGAATTCCATTGCAATTTCGTCTTCATTTGGGAAGGTGAGATCACAGTAATCGTCGCAGATTGCTGGGGGGCGGCCTGTTCTGAGACAGATTTCCTTGTCGCAGACGTAGGCTAGCCAGAAGAGGAATCGACAGTGTAAGTTGAAGACAGTGGGTGACTTCTGAACATGTACATGTAAATGGCCCCCAAGCGAAAAAATATGGCGGACCGAAGCCTGGAAGAGCAATTCGACCGAACTAGGGCTGCTGAAGTGACCCAGTCGGTAAAGAGACTATACAAGAGATTAGTATCCGGGAAGCGCCTCCTAAGATACCTGCAAGGTAGGCACAGCATCTATGAAAGAATTCTCCAGATAGGAAGCAGCTCTATAATCTCTGAGCGCTCAGGAAGGAAATCACAGCTGCGGGTGATATGATACAGTGCGTCCTCATCTCCAAAGCAACGAATAGCCGGGTGTGTAGACAAAATTGAGTAAAGGAAGAAGCTGACTTACGAGCATCAGCAATGCTTGTATCCCGTCCAAAGAGGCTGTTTCATCCAAAGCTTCTGACAGAAGATACTGTGCCTCATGACCATACTGTTGAAGATTGGTGTCATGTGTTACAGCTAGGCCGAAGGGCGAAGAGCCGATAAATGCTATGAAGGCGAAGATGCAGGCTCGAGCTGTGGAAGCATCAGGAGAGGCATCTGAGGTTCTGTTCTCGTATGCAGCCTCCATGGTGTAATGCAATAGATCTGGATGGAGTAGAGGGAAGGAGCGATGTACCCAGGAATGTCTAAAGGAGTGGAAAACGGACAGCACCATGCTCCTATCTGGCAGGTCAGGATGGTTACTAGCCTGAAAATACTCCTTTGTAGATGCCAAGCCGTCCACGGCTAGTTTATGTCTCGAGGGATTCTCTATAGATAAGCGGTGGAAGTTGATGGTCTGGCCGGTACGCGATTCCATCCATTGCCGACTTTCAGCAGTAAAGAAGGGTAGTCCATTAGACGCACGAAGATGCGTCGGAACATGTCCCATGATGTGATCAATAGCGACAGATGAGTGAAGGAACGAGCCTCGTCGGGTATCCGAGTCAGAAGATGGCTTGACGTGAGCTGTGGATCCATTTGCGGGAGCGGTAATGGTATTGCAGAAGTCTGGTGCTTGCTGCTGTCCCCCTAGTGGAAACACCGAACTGCTCGACGACAATATTAGCCTTTTCTGGGCATGGGCTGCGACGTACATGCCTGCGATTGTCGGTCGAAGAAGGCTGGTTGTAACGATGATTGCGATCGAAGGTACATTGTAGGCCCTGCTGCAAGCACCATTCGCACGGAATCCTGTCCCGATAACATTTTATCTGGACGTTATTAGGGAGAGACTTCATTGGGGCGTGAGCGCCCCACCTTTCTGCGAAAGCAGGAGTCGCATGCAAGACGCGTGCGTGCGCGAGATTGAGGATCGTTGGTTTGCTGAGACATTTGCGGAACGCGGAGAGATGTAGAATGGGTAGATAGAATGTATAAGGTAGTAGAAGGGGAATTTGAAGTGCCAGTGGTAGCCGAGCGGGAGATTGCCTAGTGGCTCTAGGCTGACTTATGCACGTATAGATGACTAAGCCAGATATTACACACCCAGCACTATCAACTAGATACAACTTACGCAACATACAACATCGCTAGATCCTCTGCGTCTCTTCACACAGATAAGAATTCAATCAAAATTCTAGCTGTACGGCCCATGAAATGCCGCTATAACAGGTGGAAACTCCCGGTCCTGAACCCCCCACGCCGCCTCGCTCAAAGCCGCATCCGGGAGCACGAGGATGGCATTGGCGGTTACCGTGGAGACCAGTAAATGGATGCGAAACTGCCCTAGCCAGTCGTGCATTTCCTTGCAATACTGCATAGCGCAGATAATGAGTCTCTGCCGAGCATACATGTTAGCCTCCCTAGAGCTCAAGCCTACATTCGAAGCGACTACACTAACCTGTTCCGAAATCACCTTCAGCAAATGAGCATAGGTCGGCTTCAAGACGACAGTGTTTGCGGTCACCCGAGTGCTTTCGACAGGATCCAAATAGCTTAGGAGGAGCGTTTGGGCGATCAGTGTGTCGAGGGAGTTGGTGATGGCCCGAGTCTGGGATTGGAGGAGCGGGATGCTGTCCTTTGTAAGTTGAAGCGCTGAGATGGTCTTATCAAGAGTGATGACATCGACGCCGATTTGCAGAAGGGTGGCAATAACATCGTCAACGTCGGTGTTTGGGTCGATCTCCCGGAGTGGGCTATCCGGGGTTGCGGAGGGATTGACGTCTTGCTGCGAGCTGCCTTCGGAGATAGGTTGCCCAAGCAGGTTGGATGCTAGAACAATCAGTGTGAATATGGTGTAAGCAAGCTTCATTCTCATAGAGCTGTGTCGTATTTAGGTGTGCAAACGTAAATACAGGAGAACGCAGGACTGTGTTCGCGGAGGCTGGATCTCGATATCAAGTTAGCAGAAAGTTGGCGGTAATCGCGACCAGTGCCGCTGATTGTATTTAACCTCAAGCCAAGTCGTACAACCGAAGAAGATAATAGCACGAAGACCTGTGGTGGTCGCACTTGCGATGCAATACCGTGCAACCCGTTGACCTGTCACACCCATTAGAGTTTGGTACCTGGAGAGATGGGTCTGGATGAAATGTTGTATAAGACGTAGCTTGGCACATGCTGTGACTTCATACATAGTCTGAGACGTGATACACTGCTTGCAGGAAAGTAGAACAGAACTAGCTAAGGTGTGGTTGACATTAGCAAATGCTTCATATTTTTATAGTAGTGGCTTCGGTCAACAGCAAACTCATATCCGAGAAGACTCGGAGATAACAAGGAGGGGCAATCCTTCCGCCGGATGATTTTACCGCTACGAGGAATGACCTATAGCATCATAGATAAACTATGCCCAGGGAAGGAGCTGCGCAAGCACGTGGCTTGCAGCCATTTTGACCTATATTAACTATATGGCCAGCAGCAAGAGATATGAAGATCTCAAAAATCGATAGACGAAGGTAAGAAATTTGCCTACCCGCATGTGGGGGGCTGGCTAATCCTTCATGCACACGTCTGCGTGTCCCGAACAACAATGTCATTCCTAAGCGATGTTCTGGGCCCCGTTATTCAGACCTTAGACCATCCTCGTCCACTCTTTTTCCTTCAGCGTCCCACTGCTGCGGGGTCTGCATTAGTGCCATTCGCTTGGTGCACGGGAGGAGAGCTAATCCCAGATGTATGATTGGCCTACATGCTTAATATCCTTGCAGATTAGCATTGACCATACTGGATTTGATAACAATACGGGCCTATATTTGATGTCACGTATGCATGTTCCCCTCACGGTGGTGAAATAATATAAGCCCTGGTTGACGGTGAGAGAAACCCCCAAAAAATTCAATAACCACAGACACGCACACTTCTCACAATGCTCCCAGTTTCTTCGACAGTTTTCAGCTCCACAGGCCTTCTCTACTTGATTGGGATCTGGGTTGCATCGCGTCTCGTCCGCGCCTTGTACAATGTCTCCCCCTTCCACCCCCTCAGCCACATCCCAGGCCCGAAGCTGGCAGCTGCCACGTTTTTGTATGAGGCTTGGTTTGATTTAATTCGAGGGGGTCGCTTCACCCACGAGATCAGGCGATTGCACGAAATATATGGTTCGTTGCACGCTGCCACACTTGGTGATGTATCTAATGCCTAGAGACCAGGCCCGGTGGTGCGTATCAACCCAGAGGAACTGCATTTCAACGACCCCAACTTCATCGACGAGGTGTACCCTACCGCCGGGCGCACGCGAAACAAACAGGTTCATTATGTCACCTTTGCGACCGGACCTACCGCCGAGGCAATGTTCGCCACCATTGACCATAAACATCATCGCATCCGACGCGGCGCGATGAACAAATTCTTCTCGCGTGCACAGATTGCGCGGTTGGAGCCTGAGATCAAGAGGCTGACCGACCAGCTTTGCGACAAGATTATCCGACTCGGTAGGGCCACAAGCCATCTTCAGTTTGAGAATCTCTCTGAAAACCCAATGTCCAGGCACCAAGGATCACGAGCCACTCGATATCACCACCGCGTATAGCTGCTTCACCGCGGACGTCATCTCCGGCTACTGCTTCGGCGAATCCTTCGGGTTCGTGGAGCAGGAGGGGTGGGAGCCCAACTTCCGCGACGCCGTTGTGGGTCTATTGGAGACGATCTTTCTCTTTCGATTCATACCTGTAACCAAACTTCTGGTACCCCTAGTCCCGTTTCTGTGGAGATGGCTGCCCCGATCATTGCAGGTGTACATGGACGAGTCGACGGAGAAAATGCCGGCTCGCGTCCGCCAAGCGAGACAGGAGTTTGAGACGGGGACCATCCCCAGCCGGCCGACAATCTTTCACGCCCTGCTTACCTCTTCGTTGCCGGAGGCTGAAAGAACCGACTACCGGTTGACCGGGGACGGTTTGTCGCTGAATACCGCCGGGACGGAGACAACCGCTGTAAGTACCGTCTTGCAACAGTTCTGTCTGTTTCCAATACTCAACCAATACGCAGTGGACCCTCACCGTAGCAACATACTACCTCCTGAGCCAACCAAAGACTCTAGCGCGCCTCGTCGAGGAGCTTGAAAGCGCCGACGCCACCAACCGAACGTGGAACGAGCTCGAGAAACTGCCTTATCTGAGCGCAGTAATTGCCGAGGCACTCCGCCTGTCATACGGAGTCAGCCCGCGGAGCCCGCGGATCGCGCCGAACGAGCGTCTTATCTATCGTGGACGCTTCCAGGGGCGGGAGATTGTCTACCACATCCCACCCGGCACGCCCGTCGGCATGTCCAATGCAATCAATCACCACAATGAAGATGTGTTTCCCGACTCGGATAATTTCAGGGTTGAGCGATGGCTTGAAGCCGATGAAGCTCAGCGCCGCAGATTGGAAACGAGTTTGACCTCGTTTTCCAGGGGAAGCCGCTCATGCGTTGGAATCAAGTATGTATCACTACTGTTACACCTTCAACTGGGTGCATCCTTGCTCGATCACGCCTGATGCTAATCTTGCTTATCATCAGTCTCGCGTACTGTAACCTCTACGTGGCGCTGGCGGCTCTCGCGGTGCAAGTGCTCCCCCGAACACAACTGTACCAGACGACCGTGGAGGATGTGGCGTATGATCATGATGTCTTCGTAGGAGTTCCGAAACGCGATTCGAAAGGGGTGCGGGTTGTTGTTTCTTGATAGAAGGCTGGGAGTTAGGATTGGGCCAATGGTCGAATTTTGTTATGTATGGCTAGAATCATGCACGCAACCATCCAGTAAGGGTCATTCTCATAGGTTCAATCCAGAGCTTTGAAGTGCGAAAGAAAGCATGATGTGACCACTACATACCAGTCCCTGAGCCTACCTAACACTACTGGATTACCGATAAGTTGGAAAGCCGGCTGACGGAATCAATAGGCCACTCCGTTTGTACAGTAGGTTGAGCTGCTCAAGAGGTGGTCACGGTGGGGGCGGGGCGCGGCCGGGACGGACCGACGCGATCATCCACCAGCATGACAGGCAAGCCATCTGTGCGAGTGGAGATGCGAAGGGTAATGTTGAATATATGTCATAGCATGAAAGGGACTGCATCAGAAAGAGTACTATGAGCCTAGAGATTCGCAGCCATGCCTACATTTTCTCATCGTGTAAGTGCCATGTAGAGCCTGGGCGTCTGCCTCCAATTGTGTAAACACATCACACATGCTTTCAAAAGCATCAGTTATAGAGCTACATCAAAAGGGGAACTCCAATATGGGCACTGCTTCAGGTACCACACTCCACTGACGCTGCATGAATCTAAAACCAAGCATCTAGATGCATACGCAGGGGGCTCCAGGATAGCCAGATGCATCCTCACCAATCAAGATTCCGCCACATGAATGCAAGATAGCCCTATCATAAGCCAACCCTAGACAATTCCAGTCGAACAAAGCTCAATCCTTGTAAGGAGTACACACCATAGAGCCATCATGTATATCCAGGCAACTCATCCAGAACACCTATAAGTCCAAAACCCTCAAGCCCAATCCCGCTGCACATAAACGGCATCCAATATCCCATTTAACCTCCCAAACATACCCCCGACCCTCGACTCCAAACCACCCCCCAAGCCCACCACAGCACATCTCAACTCCAACATCCCTCCCAAATGACGCCCCAATGACGTCCTATCCCGGTGTGCAGGCGCAAAAAGAAGAGACAACTGCCGCGACTGGGACTCGAACCCAGAATCTGCACTCCACACCGCTAGCATAAGGCTAGTACGGGGGCTCTGCAATGTTAATACCACTACACCACCGCGGCTGTTGTTGTACAGTAGCACTCGAAACTAAATTATAGCCCCACTTCCCCTATTTGTTCTAGGCCGCTACGGCCCCACAGCGGGGCGATGGGGGCTAAGATTTTGGATCTTGATTCTGGGGGATGTCCTGCTGGGTTTGGGATACTTTTCGTATGTGTTTAATGTTCGTTGGGGTGGGGTTTTGGGGTGATGGGGTGGGGGGAAGTTGGGGGGTGTGGCCGGGGATGGTTGTGATGTCATTGGGATTGGTGGTAGCGCCGGGTTGTCGGCTCGGGGAAAGGTTATGGTGCTTAAGCTTGGAGCATATCTATAGAGAGTCGATTATCTTAGATTTGGATTTGAGGAGACTTGACTCTGGCTCACGCATGTGAGATACTTTTAAAGCATCCGCACTCTTCTCAAACACTGCAAAATCTATGAAGCTAGGTTCTTCTTCTCGTAAGCGGTAGTTAGTCTACCTACATGGCTACGTATAGTATTACAGCTCCCTTCGCCGTGAGCCACAAGCATCACGAGATTTTCAACCTCAAGCTATACTGGGTCTATATTTCTCAGAGTGGTCGCTGGCAACTCCCAAGAATCCCTCCATATGGAAACATAGTCTCAGACGGCACACTTGGTTAATGTATCTTTGTGCTCGCTTTTGGCCACGAAATGAACACTTAATATATTCCCAGGTTATAATCACAGCGTAGACAAAGCCGTCCTCCACTGATTATGACCCCTGCGGTAGCCTGAACGGCCCAACTCCAGCGATTTGGATCGACATGATCCTCTCGGCCCCACTAGAGGTGTTGGCCGCTACAGCCATACCATTGTGTTATCCGTCCACGGTGATTGCCGCACTTGCCGCACTTGCCGCACGGGCAGGGCAAGCAGAACCGTTCGCATCTTTTCCCTTTGCGACTCCTGATTCTGCGACGGTCAGACTTCAAATCAAGGGATTTGGCCATCAAATGGGGCATCGCACAACCCCGGTTTCTGTCTTTGGCCATTCTTCTTTAGCTACTTGGACCGGATCGTTAGAATCTTGTTTGCACTTCAGGTATCACCCTCAACTAACCGAAGGACTACACATTTCAAGGAGCACCCATGCACGGCAATACAAGCGCACGGCAGCCTCTAGCGGTGCTCAAAACGGCGTTCTTCAGGTCACTGGAAGACAGAACATGGATAGCCCTCGCATCTATGCTAGGATTTCGGTGCGGAATGTGGGCTCGGGGGCGTTCATGGAGTTGAAGAAGCCCTTTCCGACCGATGGTATGGGCGACTGCTTCAGCGGACAAGGTATACACGGCTCCATGAAAGAGCCTTTGAAGGTTTTCATTCGATCCTGGCGAATAAGGGGAAGCTTGTCACCAGCGACTCGATTGCCCAGATTTTTCAGCCACAGCCCAGTAACCCCACCGGACGATCAGAAGGCAGCAAGGATGATTGGAATGTTTGAAGTTCAGATTCATCGAGCGAGATGCGACAGGGAAGCTATATGAAGATAGGCTATTCATTTCGGGGAAAAAAAAGAAGAAGAAGAAACATAGAAGTCCTAAAGTCAGCGAAGTCTCTACTGAGATAATCTACACCAATCAGTCCTGCCATCGAGTTTTGACCTTGCTTTGCTCAATCGCAAAGTGCTTGAAAAAATTCACAAATTCCTGAAACGTGAAACCTGAAAGCCCAGTGATAAACCACGAAGAGTGGGATTTCTATTCACTGCGTCTTGTTTCGGTATCTGAACATTTTTTTTCGGCTACAGCCCTGTAGCTGAGAAATCAAAGCTGTTGATGGGTCCGGTAACACACCTTGACATATCGTCATCATGCATCATCTTCAAAAATACCTACTACTAGTTAGTTATCAACTAGAAACAGCTGCCGTGGAGGCTTGCTCAATTATTTTTAAGGATGGAAGTGATTGCACTTTGTTCACCCAACTGCGCCGATGGGCGTGCACCCTGGCGTGCAGACCTGACATTCAGGCTTAGCAGCCTTTCCGCAATAGCCGACAACTGGCCCAGGCGGGGTTTAGGAGACCTAGGGCCCATTTTCGAAAGACAAATACTTTGTTATTAAACAGTTCTATTTATGTGTTATGTAGATTGTCCGCTCCATTTAGGCCCTGGCAGCACTGTCTCCAGTGACACCCTTTTATCCAGCTGCGCTTCGCCTCTCTCATTCTGAGGACATTGGTCCAAGCTTTGGCTTGCGCGCTACCATCAGAAACATCGGAGTGACCAACTTCTTCTCCCCTGCAATCCGATACGCATTCATCACCCGCACCATGTCCATGACGCGACTCCGGGATCCTGGGTCGAGGACGCCGAACATCTCGCCCACTCTCAGGAAGCGACCCCCCCAGCGCGAGGAAAACAGCCGCAGAAACGCCGCCACCAGCCCGCCGGCGAGAGTCTCAACGGCCCCTCCCATCCACTTGAACGAACCGTCAATGAGCTGGTACCAGGGCAACAAGCCTGCGGCGGCGGCATCAGCCAGATCCTCCGCCGCGCAAAGCTCGAACCCGACCGCTCGCATGGCGTCAACGACCTCGGCGGTGGTGCGGAGATGCGGACAGCCGGCCACGCGTTCCAGGTCCTGGTGGCACGCGCGATGGTCGGCGCGCGTGGCGTGATATCGGTCGGTCATGGCCAGCTCGTAGACGGCGAGGATGCCACCGGGCTTGAGGAGGCGAAAGACCTCGCCATAGACGGCGGCGAGGTCCGAGGCGTAGCACGTCGCCTCGATGGAGTACGCCCGGTCGAAGGAGTCGTTCTCGAGATGGGTGGCGGTGAAGTCGCGGGCGACAAAGCGCACGCGGTCGGCCTGCCCGGCCTGCTCGGTCAGCCGCGTCGCGCGCTGCACCTGCGCGGCGCTGATCTCCACCCCGCAGACGTCCACCTCGGCGAAGCGGGCGATCTCGCGCGCGGGGCCCCCGAGGCCAGACCCCAGGTCCAACACCTTCTGGTCGGGCTGGAGGCCCAGTCGCAGGGCGAGATAATGCTCGTGACGGATCATGGCTTGCTGCATGGACTCCCCCGGGTAGCGACGACACACGTGGAAGGATGTACCCCAGGCCCACTCCATGAAGCTGCTGCCATTGCTGTAGTAACTGGTGTTCCCGTGAGCGTTATGGCTGTCAGATACACCAGGCCAGTTAGACTACTACTTACCTGTCTGCTGCTTGGGCTTCACTAGTTTTACCCCCCTTACCCTCCTAGATATGGTGTCAGAATTGGCATTTGTATCCTCGTCGCCCACTTGCGCTGAATTATACCGGTGGAAAGGCGCCTTGACTTTGACAATCTGGCATCGGGGACGGACTGTTGCTGCCTTGAGAATCACGAGGTATCTGGCATCCGGCCTCCAGCAGGATATGATTCCGTCTTCTTACTTTTTTGGTCGATTGAGTGACATTCTCAAGGTACCTTGGGAGAACTAACAGGAAAAGTACTCGTCGTGTGGCTCAGAAGCTTGGGGTCGATGACTTCAACACCGACCCGTGGTTCCGTCCGGTTCCCGTAGTATCCGCGTGCGATCAGCAACGAATTGGCCCATGGCACAACGATGACCGTTATATACCGAGTAGATTCAATGAGAATGTGGACGAACTCGCAAGCAGATTTTTGCAACCGTCATTATGACCATGTGCATGACACTTAGTACGACAGAGGTGCCTGTTAGTATAGTACAGCTCGAGCTCCTAGCCATGTACCATTTAGAAGCCTTGTAGTATCTAACGACGTCTACTCGAGTCTTGCCCACCGAACCAGATGTGTACTGTATACCGTATTCAATTCGACGAACTTGCCGGTGTCACCTCTACCTAGTAGTAAGCTCCCGAGAAGGTTTAGTATTTGGTTGTGGATATCGACCAGCCCTTTGAATGGAGACCGCCTCGCCTACCGCGCAGTATTCCGACACCATCTTGAACACGAAGGATTACTACTAGATTAGGTATAAGCTCATAATCAATCTTACTGCAGAGGCTTACCGGAGTATCATAAATTCAGTATATGAATAACGAGTAGATAGCTTCTATATCATCCGCACTAATAGCCGCAAACCCTGTCCCAGAAGCGAAGGACTTTTCTACTTCCCTTCACCTGGGAGAGACCCCTGAAGCGACTGGCTGGCACTTCGGGTGGACGGTGTCTTGTCCCAGCGCGTAAGTCGTGGTGCACGCGCTCCTAAACCTTCTCCGTGACGCGGCGCAGTCGTCTATCGCTGTTTTGAAGGCGGATATACATATCCAGAAACGCGTGTAATCTTGGTAACAACCAAGCTTCCGTGTGACCAAGCCTATGCCCGGTTGCAGGCAGCCGAGACGATTGCGGCCGATATATAGTGCGCGCTGCGCGCGTAGTAGGAAAATAATCATTCCATGAATGGAGCAGTCTCTTGCGGTCCTCCACTATCGACTCTACTCAAACAACCACGCCAATCGTATTAAAGCATTATCTCCCCGAAGGATCCAAAGCCACTAGCCCATCGTAGTAAACATGCTTCCCACTGGAGACTACGGCTGGCGGCCTGAACGTAACATTTTGCTTCCACTTACGTCAAATGCAATGAGGTTGATATCTGAAATCGCGCGCCAAAATCGGTTGACCCTGAAAGAACGACGTCTCGCTTTTCTCCGGATTAACATCCAGCCCCTGATTAGAGCTCCGCGACAGTGGGAAAGCTTCAGCTGCAGGCAATCTTTCCATCGCAGAATGCAAAGGCACGACAGAAGAGTCGCCCATTAGTGGGCGAGCTCGCACCAAGCTGAACAACGAACTTACATTTCTCTTCTTACCAATCTCCTTTGTAACATCCGCGTTTGGGATGAACTTTGTACGATTTGGCCAGAGCTCTCTGGGCCCCTGGATTGAAGTGGTTGTCTCGGAAGTGCCGTTGTTGGTTGGGTGTGTGTGTGTCATTTTTCTGGAGTGGAGGATTTCGATTCGAGCATTAGTCGAAAAGGGACTGGCCAAGGTACGCCAGGCTCATTCTTAACCAATTTGAAAACAAGATTTGACAAACAGTTGAGATGAGAGCACCAGCCTCATACTAGCGTGGTTTTGTGCTCAGTAACAAGTGAAGCTTAAATTGGGAGTGAGGGATATGAGGGTGGCGTCGACCCAGGGCCTGAAAGAGGTCACATGATGTCCATCCGATTATCAGCCCCTCGAGCCCCTCTATCCCATTGTTCCATTTATATTTATCCCATTCTTGTTGAACGTGGTAGCCGGTCAAGTGGAGGGTGAATTGGTGAGAAGATGATATTCGGTGGATGTTGCGAATTGGTTGCTGCCTTTTGCCCCTGAACGTGACCTGCGGATAGGGCTGCGGCCCGTCGAGCGAGAGCAGAGCACAGACGAAGAGCAAAGGTTGGCTTTGCCATATGAGACATTTTGTTACTGGATTAGAGTTCACGGTCAGCTGAAAAATGAGAGCAACGAGTCTGGCCGCTCGAAACACCCGATTCCTGGGACCGAGCATTGATTTCCCCGGAATCTCAGCCATCTGTAACCGCCGCCGGGCCAGTCCCTGTCGATCATTTCTCAAAATTGAGCTTTCTGCACATCATCATATCCCGGGGGTTCGATCAACACAATCTTCATGAACCATACTATCAAGCTCTTATGATCGTGCTGGTTTGGCACTACATTGTCTCCACGGTAGTACCACAGGACTATAAAGACACCCGAATGTCCCTCGAAGTCAACCTTCTCCTACAGCGTTCAACCATCATCCTGATTCACCTTCGATCCCAGAAATCATCTATTTTAATATCCTCACCTTGATATCAACAACTCATCCACAATGAAGGTCTCCATTCTCTCTGCCCTCACCGTCGGCCTCGCTGCCGGTACCCTCGCTGCTCCCACCAAGGTTGAGCGCGACCTCCCCACCGTCACCGGTGTCCTCTCCGGCATTGGTACCAAGGTCGACGCCCTGGGCTCCGCCATCCAAGCCTACAGCGGTGGCGATGTGGCCAGCGTTCAGCAAGCCTCCGACAACCTGGTGAGCGCAATTAACAGCGGCAACAGCCAGGTTAGCGGTACCTCGGCCCTCAGCGCAACCGACGCCCTCGGCCTCCCCGGGCCCGTGGACACCCTTAAGAAGAAAATTTCCACTGTGATCAGCGACCTCGACAACAAGAAGACCTTGATCGTTAGTGCAGGAAAAGGCGCCCAGACCTACAACGACCTGACCGAGCAAAAGGCCGCGGCTGAGAAGTTGTCCGACACGATTGTCTCCAAGGTACCCGATTCGTTGCAGAGCCTCGCTGGTACCGTTGCTGGTGGCATCTCGGATGCGATTGAGGCTGGTGTGAAGAGCTGGTCGGATCAGGCTTCCAAGGGCGACGCCCAGTCTCAGGCCAGCCCTGCTGCAGTTGAGACTGCTGCCCCTTCGCCAGCCCCCACTGCCGCGCCTAAGGCTGCTCCCACCGCTGCGCCTGCTGCCGCTCCTGAGCCTGCTGCTAGTGACGCTCCTGCTGACGCTCCCAAGCCTGCGTCTAACGCGGCCCCTGTTGCTGCTCCCAAGCCTGCTTCTGACGCGGCCCCTGCTGCTGCTGCTGCCGGGGCTGCTCCCGCGGGACGCTGCGTGGCTCGGTATTGATCATCTGCTACTGGGTCCATATGACCCCCGGCCAAGCTCCATCCAGATGAAGGACTTTGGCACGCAGGTCTTTTGTGAAGAAAAGGAGTTGTGCGATACTCATTGGTTTTGTTGTAATGAATTAATTTCACTGTATGCGTCAGAGCCTTCCAATAAAGCTGATAATAGTTAGTCTTCTACGTAGCATACTGCAGGGTCTCAGATAATGCCCGGTATCAAATGGGCACTAAAGGTGGCTATGGGGGCCAGACTCTACTTAGCGTCGTTCACAACTGTTTTAGTTTGCATTTCCCACCACCTTCAACCATCCACTTTCTTCAACGTCTCCCTAGGATCTCTCAATTGCAGTCCATCACAGCTCGCCACACATCATGTTGGATGCTCTAAGTAGACTTCTTGAGCACATCCACCTCGCTCCCCACGAGCGCCAGGTGAAGGAATACCTCGAAACAGCCACTAGAGGTAACCTGACCCCCTATCTATCTTCATATTCCCGCAGTACGCAGCTAAAGCCTCGCAGAATCCATCCAGAGAGACCTCCAAAGGGTCCTCAAGCCTCTCAACCATCCGTCATCATCAGCATCGTTCCACCCGTCTTGCATCAAGGATGCCGACCAGAAAAGCCGTACGTATCCCTTCACCCCCTCCACCCCTGCAGCTCAGACACTAAAAACACCAGAATGGACCCGCAAAAGCCTGGAAAAACACATCACCAGCTCCCACCCCGACTCCGCACTCTCCTGCGACTCAATTGACTTACTCTGGCGATGCCTCCACTACTACGCCTACCACCCATTCCCCCAAGAAGCCACGGGTGAAGCAATCGATCCCGACGCATTCAACCGCGCCGTCGCATTACTCGCGCACGGCGGGACCTGTCTCCTAGGCACCCAGGACGTTGGCGGGTACCACTGGCGCAACCACGATGATACGCAGTACATCTGCCGAGCAAATATCGCAAGAATGCTCCGGAGCATCGGCCGTCCCGAGACCGTATCGCTGCCTCCAGCTGAGCACCAGAAAGACACCCCATCCGTGCTCAGCGACGTAGTAGACGTCCTCGCGACCACGCAACCATACTCCATCAATCAGGCCCCATCGCCAGAGCGACTGGACATCACTGCACGGGAGCTCCTGACAGAGGAACCCGCAACTCCAACCCGGTGGCGTGTGAGTCGGCGGGATGTCTCGCTTCTTATCGCCTTGCTCCTTCACTTGAGAGTCTCGCCGACCAGAAAATGGGATCGAACCCGCTATTTTGGTTGCTTTGCACCGTCTGACCGCGCGGATGAGCACTTGGCTACCTGCCTCATTCAGGGTATAATGCCCGAGGATAGGGACTACGATGCAGACGGGCTCGCTGGCATACCTTTCGACACGCTGGTGAGCTGGGCTATCCTCCCATCAGCATTGTATCGAGAAAACCAAGCTAATAGAAATTACCGGCGCAGCCGAATCTCCTCCCCTACTTCCACCAACTCTGGACCGTGCTATTCCAGCCTCCGTGGCCCAGCCCCCAGGAGGAGGCTTTCATTCCGGACGCGACAGAGCACAGAATTCCCGCGCGGATACTCACAGCCTTGTCGCTCTTCCTTCCCATCCCGCATCTTTTGCCTACTGACCCAGGGTCGACCTTCGGTATGAAACCCATTTCTTTCCAAGAGATCGAAATGCCATCTACCAGCCCTACCTGTTCCGAGATGGCCCAAGCTGTGCAAGGCGACGACACTCCGCGCATTATTCTAGCCACGAACGAGAACCACACCCAGGCCATCGGGGCGTTCATGCCTGCCTCACTGCAGCGGGACGCAGGCGACGGCACGACGCGAGAATGCACGGTCGGGAAGACACATTTATTTTTCTACTTAGGCCAAGACTTCAGAGTCTTGCAATGCAAGAATCAACCGCGTCATTTGTCGAAAACGAGGATTTGGATGGACGATGAGGCCAAGGGCGAGGCGTCGTCGATGAGAGCGTACTGTGTTGGGGATGGGATCAAGAGAACAGGTGCAGCGAGATTACACTTCGATCCTGCCCGAACGACAGCTTCTCTCCTTGGCGTCGAGGGACCAAACATGGAAGGATACGAAAATGTGAAGAGCTGCCAGGAAACAGTGCCAGAAAACTGGGAAGTGGTGATCAATCCGAGTCGGGTTTATGTCTTCTCCCTTGTGCTCTGAGCACAAGTGTCTGCAAGAAGGTAACTTAGAGCATATTCGACTCAGCGCTGCAGCTCCTATCTTTCTAATGCTAGCGTATCCTTTCCAGTAAGCAACCCAAAAGGCAATCTCAACTACAGACGATACCGTACCACCCACAGCACCTATCCACCTATCCATGCACACTTCAATCCCGCCTCCCCATCCTCCGCAACCAGACCCCCAAATCAAACCCCCCCTCACTGAGTTCCTCCGCATCCCCCACAAACCTAAACGTATACCCCACCTCCTCTTTACCCCCTTCCCCATCCCCCTCCACAAATTTAAAGCGACACCTCTCCGCCCGATAATTCTCAGTCTCATACAGCGCCAACCTCTCGCCATCCGCCCGCGTGCGCACCTCATACACGAACCCATGAACCACCGATCCCGGCCCTGCCTCCACCAAAGCCGGATACTGGCCCCACAGCTTACATGCGTAGCCGAGGAGGTGCGCCGGCCGGAGGTGCGGCGTGTCGTCGACCAAGCCAAGGATCTCCGCCAGCAGGGAGGGGTCGGCGAGGGTGCCGTAGAAGAAGTAGGGGCCGGTGGGTGCCGCCGCGGGCTGAGCTTTGAGCGCCTGGTTGATGAATTTGGGAGAGGTGGTGCGTAGTTTTAGGACATGGGGTGATAGCTTTGTTTGCGGGTTCGTGGGGGGTGGGGGTGGGGGAGGTGGTGGAGGACGGGGTGGGGAGTGGCTGCTTTGTAAGGGTTGAGGAGGCATAACCTGGTATAGTTATAGCTGATTAGAATGAGCGGACAGTTGTGGAGTGCTGGTTCAAGCATTTGTTTGTATCGTGATTTCAAGGGGTGTCAGACTCAGCCGAAGTTCTGTTTATCACGTAACTTACAGGAAGCTTGAAGGTTCAGGGTAAGAGAGCAGGCCCGGGCGGTCATTTGGCAGGGAATCGCACGTGCGGCAAGATAATTGGTCAAATCCGCGCTAAAAGGGCCGGATCCATGATGTTTCTCGTTTCTCCAGTGCCCGCATCATGGAAACTACCTATGTATGCTTCATTTTGATTTGGACAAAAAAAGAACGCTTAACAATGTTTCAGCACTTGGGATGAATTATTGGGGCGATTGCGAGACTTTTTTATTCCATTTTCACCAGCAGTCTCTCTTGGATGAAGGGCTTGGAGTACACTGGAATCGCCATTAGGGCTGCTAGGTGGGAGTCTTATGCGATCGCCACACCCTATCAAAGTCGACAGCATCACCAGATCTTGGTCACGTCAGGATTCCAATTACTGTTGTGCCTGTGTCGAGGACCCACCTTTACATGGTAGGAGACTGGTGGCGGTATCATTCCAGGGTCTGGAGCCTTTGCACTGCCAACTCAGAACAAGGGGTCGAACAATGAAAGAATTATAAATGAAACTTCATTCACTCTAGGTTCAACGCATTACTCAAATGATAGGTATCGATCGATCGCAACAGAACGCAATGGCGGACCATACTCGTCGCGTATGCGACAATTTACGAAGACTGCTCGGCATCCGCCAAAGCGAAGATGGGGTAAAGGTGGATGGTGAGAGGTTAGGAGTTGCCGAGCTAGTCTCAGTCGCCAGGTGGTCCCTTCCACAGCTCTCAGAAAGGAGCTTTTCCCACGCTGACCATGAATTAAGACACTCAGCGAAGCCTTCCATTCGTCAGACCAAGGCTGTAATGAGCCGCATGCAGGCGAGCGTGGACACTCTTCATCGGCCACTCGAGCAGGGGAAAGTCATCTACGGTATTGACGTAAAGGTTCAACCCATGCTAAGCATTAGAGCAGGAGTAAACACTGGAGTTGGTGACAATGCATACACGCGAGCAAAGCTTCTCACCACCCTTCAACACTCGGTCTGCCAGCATCATCAAGCCGGAATTCTCTTAATCGACCAGGATCACATCTCGCCTACCTGTGGATCTGTCCAGCATAGCCTCGCGGAGGACATTGTACGAGGGATGATCCTGGTCCACTTGTTCGTCCCCAGCAGCCAGATTGCACCAACGACACCAGCAGGAGCCATCTCTGCCTATTGTAGAGTCTGGAAGCCGGGGGCCGGGATGACCAAAGAAGCAGCCCAGCCAGTCGATCCCGCTGATTTAGCCGACAGGAAGAAATATGGCCACGGCGGCAGTGCCATCCGTAATGAACAAAGGCACTCCGACGATGACGGCGACCGGTCTAATTTGCCTGACATCACAAGAACCAGGAGCCCCCCAGCGCGGTTCAAGCAGAAAACGGCGACTCGATACCAAACGTGTTAGGGATATGACGTTCGATGAGCGTTTGATTTCCCAGGGACTCGGGAATCTATACGGGTACTCCCCGGGAAGATATCCCCATGCAGCGCGAATTGAGCTGGTGGTTCTTCAGCGAATGATTTTATACGACTTACAGCGACAACGGGTCGCCGCGACTGCAGAAATCGCACGATCGTACGAGGCTAGTGAGTTTACATTACGGACTGCTCGTGATCTGCTCAATGACTATAGTAGGGCCCCTTTCAATTCGACCTTCATATCGGCCGACCAGATTCCTAATGTGTCCTTATGCTCCAGTGGCTGCGGTTCGGAACTTTGATTTCATGACCGAGCGTCACAGACTCGCGCACGAAAATGACGAGAGGGACTTGTTCTTGATCACCACCGATGATCCGTCCAGCTATCATCTCATGAACGATCATCTTATGTTACCGAAAAGATTTGACCACAGATACTTCGATGAGGACATTTCGCCGGGCCACGTGAACGATCCGTCTCTTCCCGGCACTTCCCGAACCAAGCATCATGAGATTTCCCGACAGGGAAAAGGTGGAGGCGGCTCTAGATGGGGCTTTGTGGTGGTCTAGCCCTGATCGCGCCGATGCTGCTGATGGTCCTCCACAACGATACGCCCACGACACTTGCGACGGCTAGTGCAGCCACCATTATCTTTGCGCTGGGCCTCGCATGGTTTGGAGAAGACCTCGACGGGAAAGATGTTTTGGCCTCTGTAGCGGCGTACGCCGCGGTGATGGTGGTCTTCATAGGAACTTCCTCCTGACTGAAGCATGTATGGGGTAAACAAGCCACACGTCAGTTCCTGAGTATAGAGCATACTTTCTCTGGCGAGACTCGGTACAGTTCCCAGCTTATCCTTTTCGTGGCTCCCATTTACATAACCCCCAGAGAGTATAATACGTCGACTTGAAAGCTCTCTGGCATTGGCAAGTGAGGGTTCGATGCAAAGCATGTAAACACATAGCTCAGTTGTGCCTTCGGCCATGTTGCTATCTCCGTGATTCCGCTCGCTTCTATTGCTGATATAATAGCGTTTCTTGTACGCACCATGTACGCCGGTTCAGAGTGGGGTATTCGTTACCCCAGTGTTATTCTTTTGGCAAGCAGTGGAGGATATGTTCAGTGTAGTCAATATGAGAGACCTGCTATCTCAGAGGATCTAGTGTAGATGGCTGTTGCGCTACATGCCAAGAACATGTTTCCATGGAAATAGTCGCACAGGCAAGATTCAACAGTTCTCAAACAAAGGGAGCCGTATCGCGGACAGAGCATAACCAGGCAACAACCCAAATGCTTGACGGTATGAGGCTCGGCGTAGTTTGCACGCCATCTTCTCGTAATGTTCGCAAGATCTCCGCTCTTGCGACGATGAGATCGATGCTTGGGTCGGCAAGGCGGACACATAAGTAATCGCCCGTTTGCGGAGGATACTTCAAGGTTTTAGGTTAAGGTTCCGAGATCGTCTTCCCGTGTTATATCAACCTTGTACTGGCTTGGCATGCTCCTCCCCACGGTACAAGATACGACTGCCAAGCTGACAGGGATGGGGTGTCGAACTGACCCGCCTTGTACGTTTCCATGGGTCGAACGAGCAACCTGATCTGGGCCCCCACACGATCTACAGTACGAACCAAAGTGCACGGAGGTCTCATGAAGAGCATGTGACCTCGACAGCCTTGAGAGAATATAAGGAAGATGCAATGTATAGCTCGATTTAGTTGTCCGAGTTATGTCAATCAGCATCGACCATCTTTGTTCATACCACCTTTTTGTGCAGCACAGCTATATTCAAGGGTTGGAACCCGCAATGCCAGCCCTCATCCATCTCGTCCGCCATGCGGAAGGCCTCCACAATTTGCGCCACAATGTCCAGATTCCCGATGCCCCCCTCAGTGAACGGGGCTTCAACCAAGCCGAACTGCTAGGCCAGAAGTTTCTTTCCGCGCACTCCGACAGCGTCGGTGCAGTCATCTCCAGCCCACTTCGCCGATCGATCCAGACCTCCTTGACCGCATTTCGACGGGTGTTGCATGCGGACCAATATCCTGCCAATACAAGCGTGGGTGTGCGGCCCGGAGTGTGGCTGGGGCTCGATCCAGCACTGCGGGAGTTCGGCGGCGGCTTGCCGTGCAACACCGGCTCCCCAGTCAGCGAGCTGATGTCCGAATTTCCGACACTCCATCAGCTCCAGCAGCTGGATCCGGATTGGTTCGACGACTCCGGACGCGATCCGTCGTCCGCAGGGCGGATTAAACAAGAGATCTTGGGACGATTGGAGCAAATGCAGGCAGATCTGCAGGAGGATCCTGATAGAACTGATATCGTGGTGGTAACTCATGACGGGATTATCGGTGCCCTTGCACCTGGTATCCGGATTGAACTAGGGCAATGGAAAAGCTTCGAGTTGGTGAAAGCCAGCAATGGAATGCTATCGTTGCAACCGGTTTAGGTCAATGGCGTCAAAAGGGCAACTTTAACACCGGATCAAATCTGCTGGAGTTGTCAATGGCTATGTAGTAGTGACTAGGCCTAGCTAGTGAGGGCCCTGGGAGTTTGGAACGAAGGAATTCTTGAGAATGTCAGCTGAACCTAATCATTGATGGAATTTAAAGTCAAATTTACCGTGATTAATAACCAGATTGTTTGCAACCTCTAGAGCATTATGAGTTCTCGTAATGGGGTAAACATACTCGACCCCGAGCAAATAGATGCCCCCCGAAGGTCCCGTTCCTACAATCTCGTACTAAACTCAAAGTTGCTTCCTAGTTATAGATTTGACATCCCCACATTCTGGGTCGATGGCGCCTACCTTTGGGAGCTACCCGAGCTCGGGAAAAAGTGCCAAATCACCTTCCAACTCCACCTTACTATGACAGAGTTGTCTGGAACGCATATGACGTGCTTCATCTCCACGTCCAGATTGTGAATCACACTTCAAAGATCCATATTATACAGTTCAACGAGAGCTACCCGAGAGTGGAAGCTCTCGTATGAAACCAATGTTGCCCCAATCGTGGCCTCGGGTTGGGCAATGCAAAGGCTTGGCTCGTGTGTGGATGATCATCAGAGAGGACGAAGCCTTTGTCTACATAATCGGCAATCACGAGGACTATACTCCAAGGTGGTCTGGAAACCCACAAGCACGCATTCGAGACCGCTCCGGACCTGTCTAGGCGACAAGAGCAGTGGCTCTGAAGTCATGGACCGACACTGTTCTGCATCGCGCAATTGCGATCAACGATGGCTATAAAGTGACCAGATCACCCTCTTTCCCTTCGACCACCTCCCCAGAAAGGTCTCACATCATAAGATAAAAGACTACCTGCAGTCAAAATCCAACAGTCATCATGCTGTTTGACGATTTTCCAGACGTCGAGGTTGCACGCACTCCTGGCGGAGCACTTCAAAGTATTGACCATGCGCAGCAGCCCTGGGCTCCCAAGCCCCAGGGCCAAGCTGTCGCCGCAATCGCCACTGCGAAAGATGTGGCAGAGCAATACCTCAAAGAGATAGCGAGCGAATATAAAATCAATTCCGAGGTGAACAGTCTAACCGCCCCTGATTTCGACCTGGAGTTTAAGCAAGAAAGGCCTCGCTTTAGAAGCACGGCTGTAATCTATCAGCAAACCTTCAATCATTGGCCGGTGTGGGGCGCGCAGCTCAGTGTTACTGTGCGTGAAGACAATCAGGTCCTTAATTCCAGCAGTACTCTTCACACTGGTGCCTCAGGACCAGATCTGCTCCCGGATGACGCTAAGTTCATTAAGAATAGTGTCACGGAAGAGGATATCGCTGCGTCGCTTGGTGTCCCAGTCGGGAGAGATGGCATCAGTTTCTCGGAAAAATTTAAGGAGAAGACAGAAGACGAAAAGAAGGACAAGCAGCGCATTCTTGTCTATCGTTATAGCGCGAAGGGTAGACAGGAGCAGGCGGGCGATTCTCCACCGATACTAGCCTTCGCCGAAGTGCCTGAGAAGATTGAAGATGGCAAGTACTATGTGGTCCGGGAAGCCCTCTTCTCGCTGCCTGTCTCGGGCTATGGGAGTCTCAATTGGAGAGCCTTCGTCGAGGTCGAGACGGGTTCGATCATCTACCTGCAGGCCCTCACAGCCGGTCTTACAGGCTTGGTGTTCTCCAGGGACCCCGTGACAAAGCTGGGGCATAGAGGCCCTCTGCCCGCGGGCGATGTGGTCGATTTGAATCTTCTACGCGACAGAGTGTTCCTTCCTGATACTGTGACCTCGTCTCCTCAGCGTCTCGAAGGCCGGTTCGCAGCGATCAAGGAATTCAGTCTTCCTATCAGGGTGCCACCAGCCACGACCACGGGCGAATTCAACGACAGCGTCGACTCCGATACTTTCGCCGCTGTCAATGCATACTATCATGTCACCAAACTTTTCCGGCTCCTCGGGGAGCTGGGCTTCTCGGTGAAAGACTTTTTCAATGAAACCAAATTACCCGTGCCGGTCGATCACCGTGGATTCGACGATAATGTCAATGCGCAGGCTCCAGGAAACGCGACTGGCACCGGATCTGGAGGCTTCATCTTCGGCCGGGCGGACCCCAATTCGCGAGTCGGCATGGCGGCGGACTTCCGCGTCGCAACGCACGAGTTCGGCCATGCACTTCTCTGGGACGCGATCCATTGGCCAGGCTTTGGGTTCGCTCACAGCCCGGGCGACTCGCTGGCTGCTATCTACTCAGACCCCGGCAGCGATGCCCTGGATCGATTTGACACATTCCCGTGGAGCGCCGTGGTGCGTCGTCGCCACGATCGTAAGGTCACCGATGGCTGGGCATGGGATGGTCCAGAGTATAGGCGAGACAATACAGCTTATTATCGGCGCGAGCAGGTCTTGTCGACCACTCTCTTCCGACTCTACCGAGCCATTGGAGGAGACGCCATCGGTGATATTAACCGACAGAATTGGGCCTCAAGATATGCGCTGTATCTCATCCTCGGCGGCATCGCAACCATCACCACCACGATGCCCATGCCCTATCAGTATGTCTCAGCCATGATAGCTGCAGATAATGGCACGGTTCTGGGCCATCCTGGTGGTGCGGTTCGAAAGGTCATCCGCTGGGCCTTCGAGAAACAGGGCCTGTACCATCCCCCGGGCACGCCCGATCCGGGAGTCGTCACGGAAGGGCCGCCGCCCGCAGTGGATGTGTACATTGACGACGGCCGAGATGGAGAGTACGACTATAATCTCCTGTCTGACAATACTCCTGGAATCTGGAATCGTCACGCGGCAGATGAAGGGCAGGCCAACCAGACTCCCCGGCCTGGGGTACAGAACTACTGTTACGTGGCCGTGAAGAACCGAGGCACCGGTCCTGCAAACAGGGTCAGAGTAGCTCTGTATCAGGCGAACAATCCCACGCCCACTCTATGGCCGTCTCACTTCAATATCCAAGGAATCTATCACCGCACCGGTGCTCTTGATGGGAACAAGCAGGAGCAGCACATCTTCGGACCGTTCGCCTGGGTCCCCGATAACAATCCATTATTTGACAGAGACTGCGTATTGGCCGCCGTCACCGCCGATGGTGATCTCCCCAACATCGACAAAAGCACTGCACTAAGCTGCGCCAAGGAACCTATTGATTTCGGTAACCTTGTCCCCTTTGATAATAACCTGGCAGTCCGATATTTTGACCGGCCTCGATCCACGTGATCAAGGCATGTAACTACGACATATGCACTTGATCCAATACATTTTGAGAGGGTAGGGAGAAAAACAAACAAGAACAAGAAAACTGGTATTTATTTCGAAGGTAGCTTGAGATTCTAGTTACATTGCTGCTGCTTGCTGGCTGAATGTTTCCTTCCTGCTATCAACATGTTGCAGTATGAACAGAATGATACCAAGTTCTATACCGTCACTTCCGGAAGAAAAGGCTTTACCCGACTATACTCGAATGATTCGCACCAACTGAACAAGATTATTATCTTATTGCACCAATATCTCACACTGCAGTTTTCTACTGCAGTAGTAAAAAAATCTCGATCCGCTTATCACCCCCCGCCATCCGCAAGGGTGGATCGGCGAGCTGAAACCCGCCGGCGGAGGACCGGCGGAGGATCGGCTAGTGCTTACTTTGCGGCTCCACTGCGCTGCAGTAGGCGGCCAAGCAAACCGGTCCATCTAGCCAATGCTTGGTCAAATCTTGGTCCTAACTACTCGGCACCAGTAGTACAGCGGTGAATTGCGGGGTTGCGTGCTTCGCGACAAGTGGGACATTTCGTAATTCGGTATTTGCCTCACGCTAGGGTCTTCCACTGCTTATGGTTTAGTAGGCAAGATGCCGGTTTCTGCATCGAGGAAGAGGGGTATAGTGGGATAGGACGGCTGTCCAGACGAATCACATAGTAGATACAATTGATGATATACTACCTAATCTTTCAACGAGGTCTTCAGTGGCGAACCCTGTCAGCTAGGGAACTTCCCAGCGAACCAATCTTTTAGCAGATTCTAAATTACCGCTCAAGATACCTTTGTAGCGCCTGTAAAGCCCTTACCAGGGTCGCGCCAGCCTCGCCCCCCTCCTCACCCTCCAGCGAACCCTCCCGCAACTCCAGGTCGAAAACGTGACCCGCCCCTTCGACCGGAAAATACTGCACCGCAGCACCACACTCCAGTAACTTCGCCACCAGCCTCTCGCTCTCACCACAGGAAACCTCCCGATCATCCGTCCCATGCACAACAACCGTCGCCGGGAACCCAGGCCCAAACGCGCCGTAGTCGAGCGGGAAAAGTCCCCTCACGCGATCCTCCTGCGCATGCCCCGCGACCGCCCCGTCCAGCCCTAACCCCACCACCCTCTCCCCGAACCCGGGCACCCCCGTCAGAAAATCCAGAAACACCCCGCGCTCCAGAAGCAAGTACAGCAGGGGAAGGCGTTCGCGCGTGCGCGTCTCCTCCTCAGAAGACGGGAAATCCTCGCCGACGCTGATCTCGCCCCGCGCGATTCGCTGCGGAATCTCGTGGTGTCGGAGACGCTGCGCTGCCGCGGGATCAATCGCCATCGCACCGGGAAGCGCGACGCTCTGGGCCCATTTCCGACTCCCCAGGTCTAGCAGCGGGTAGAGGAGCCAGAGCGCCTTCGGGGGCGGGAGGGGAGTTTGGCCCGTCGGCTCCGCGAGGGGGCAAGACGGGGGTGTAAAGTGCAGCGCGGTCACTACGGCGCACCAGCTCCCGGCACTGGCCCCGGCCAGCACGATCTGGCCTGGATCGGCGGTGCAGTCCGGGTGCAGGCGGTGGAGAGCGCCTCCGGCTACCCATGCGTAGGCCGCGAGGGCGTCGTCGGTGGTCGCGAGGCCCGTCGATTCGGGCAGGACCCTGTAGTCGGCTGTGATGAGGGTCCAGTCTTGGGTGAGCGCGTGGTGCAAGAGCCAGGCGGGGATGGCTTTGCGGCTGCCTGTGACCTGCCCTGGTGCTGAGCTGGAGGCTTCTTTTTTTCTTTGCGTTGCCTTTTCTCGGGTGGAAATGTTTGGCATGCAAACGTTGGGGACACTTACCAGGTAGCCACCGTGAAACCACAGGAGGATTGGTTTAGGGGTGTTCGAGTCCGTGTCGGGTGGGAGGTACACATCGAGTTGGATGTCTGTGGTGAGGTGCGTCTTGTAGACGTGGGTGTGTTTCTCATGTGTTCTGGTCGTCATCTTGGTGCTCGTTTGGCTGCAAACACGTTCGTACAAGTTCGTACCGGTAAGTCTCGTAGCTTCGAGTTAAATACCCTGCAAGAAAAGAAACGAGCCGGAGTTAGAAGGGTTTATCTGCGCCTAATATGGAGTCTATACAGTTTAAGATAAGCTGGAATGTGGGGCTAGCAGGATTCTACTCAAGTGAGGGGTATGGCGCGATACATAGCATGCAAACAGATAGCGTGGTTCATCTTATGGCATTTCGCCATCTGCCGTTGATTTCCTTTCACTACCATGGACTACTAGCATTCTGTCCGGACTTTTAGTCTCCCCTCCCTCTTCTCGTTGTCCCTGTTTTGATCGCACCTGACCGTTGCCAACTCCCTAATTCTTGTCGACTGATTGATTATCCACAGCGTCAGTGATCGTGAGGGGTGATTGTGTGGTATGCATCATCGGCGTCGTCACCTCGCTTGTGGGGAGTGATGGTGTGGTAGGCATCATCCGCATCGTCACCGCGCTTGTGGGGAGTGATCGTGTGGTAAGCATCATCCGCATC